AAAAAACTGCACCTGGAAGCGCAATTACATGTTTTCTATGAACATCCTGGAGTCTTTCAGCCCTAACCCCGCTGATAAAAGAACAACTGAAGTGAATACAGCAGGTAGAGGGCAGAGACGGACTTAGCGATGAGGCTTTACTTACAGGTCATTGAAAAAACAAACAAAGGCTCTAGAGGTCTGCAGCAGTGAGCAGTGATTCCCGTTGGCCTGCAGGCTGTAGTGGGCAGGCTAAATCCAGCTACTGTGGCTGAGCCAGACTGGGGGCAAGGCTGTCAGGGTGTGCTCTCCAATCCTGCCTCTGTCACTGACTGCTGCTGTTTGTCTTTGGACAACTCAAAATTTTCTGAGCCTTGGTTTCTCCATTTTTAAAATGAGGACCCTGGCTTGTGATATGTGCCTCTAGTCCCAGTGTAGGGCAAGCTGAGGCAGGAGGATTGCTTTAGTCCAGGAGTTCAAGGACAACCTGGGGAACATAGCAAGACTTAGTCTTAAAAAAAAAAAAAAAAAAAAAAAAAAAAAAAAAAGGGTGGGGGGGGAGTGGGGATAGTGGTGCATGCCCGTAATCCTAGCGCCTGGGAGGCAGAGGCAGGTGGCTCTCTGTGAGTGAGGCCAGCCTGGTCCAGGACAGCCAAGGCTATAATGGAGAAACCCTGTCTCAAAAACCAAAAAGTGTGTTGTGTTGTAAGTAATGGTGGTGCACGCTTTTAATCCCAGCACTCAGAAGGCAGAGCCAGGCAGATCTCTGTGAGTTTGAGGCCAGCCTGGTCTATAGGGAGTTTCTGCCCATCCAAGGATATGCAGTGAGATTCTATTTTGAAAAAAAAAAAAAAGGAAAAAGGTGTGTATGTGAGAACCCATAGTTCTTACCTTATAGAACTTTGTGAATATTAAGTAAGATAATGCATGTAAGATATTCAATACATTTATCCAATTGCAAATATTACCTTTTGTAGTTTTGTTTTTTCTATTTATGCTTATTTTGAATGAATACTTCTTACTATAATTGATGTGTTGTTGCATACATTAGCTGAATCACAGGAAAGGAGTCAGGGTCCTACAGATTTCCTGGCGACTGCTCTCAGCAGTGCCGGGTACCAGGCAGGAGCTGAACAATGGCAGCATTGTTTACTTAGGTATTAACAGGCACTGTTTCACTGGAAAGTGGAGTGCACAGCAACTCATCTTGCTGGTTTCAAAGTCTCTGTGGTTTAATTAGCATGAAACAGAATTTGAACTTGGTTCCTTGAAGTCATGAAGGTGTGCCTCCCCTCCCTGTGCCCATGCAGCCAGGCGACAGTGCTCCTGTTTGGGATCGGCACCCTGGCCCTCCAGCTGTGCGTGCTGCTCAGGTAAGGCTCGGTCCAGGCAGGCCTTATCTGTGCACAGGAGGGGTGAGGGCTCCTTGAAATTCCTGTTACACGCATAGCTGCTGCCTGCCCCGTTGTCTCTGCTCCTGTTACTGATGGGAGTCGTGTTTACATCTTTGTAGATTTGAAAATCTCAGCATAGTGAGAGTTGCAGACTTGGACAGATTAAGTTTAAATTTTAACAAATATTTACTTCCAGTATAAGAGGC